CTTTTAATGTTAGACTCTTAATTGCAGCAGAGAGTCGGTGTTCCATATGTTGCAGAGGACGTTGGGAGAATGCTCTCAACATCAGAACTGACTATAGGCTTCAATATGGTCGTGATTATGGTGACATTAGGGATTAGGAATATAACCACAAATTTCGCAATTTCTTGTGAAATTGGCTGACATGAATGAAAAAAACTTCAAACTGAGTTTCCTGTGCCTGCAGACTGACCCTAAAGTCTTAGAGATTTCCCTGGCCTGCATCAGGCTGAGATAGTCTCTTTGGCACGGAAGTTGTTTATGCTGACTTGAGGTCACCACTGGGTGTGCTTACTGTTCTCACCACTTACTCTGTTCTTGTTGGTGACCATCAATGTCTCACATGTGGCTCAACCCCACTTTCACCTGCCATCCTGACTCTTTTACACGTTTCTGCTTAAGGTCAAACCTCTCTAAGAGTTGTGTTGTCTTTATCCATCATGTTTTTTCTTCCTCTATTCCTCTACCCTTTTCATTCCCTCTCTCTGCCTCTTTGTTCAGTTGATGATTGTGGTGCCACTCCCAAGGTTGTGCAGACATGTAGAAATGCAGGGGAGTGTTTTTAAAGGGGCAGTCACAACTTTGGTGTGTGAGATCCAAAGTCTCAGACCCACTCTATACTTCAGCAGGGAACAGGCCCTGGCTTCAGCCCTGCATGTGTCCCATTTATTTATTTATTTATTTATCTATTTATTTATTTTGCTTTTGGGGTAATACACAGCAATGCTCAGGGGTTACTCTTGGCTCTGCACTCAGGAGTTACTCCTAGCGGTGCTTGGGGTACCACATGGGATGCCGGGGATTCAACCTGAGTCGACTGCATATAAGGCAAACACTCTTGTTGGTTGTACTATTGCTCCAGCCCTGGCCCATTTATTTTTGTTCTGCCACTCCTTGTGCATTCTCTCCTTGTCCTCCCAGGGAGAGTTATGGGGATTCCAGCTGTGGCTTCTGTTAGGACGTGGATCGTGATCTCCCTTTAACAACAAAGAGACTCCAGAGACTGCAAACAGAAAGCAAGGTTTATTGTAAGACTGGCTAGCCAGGGTCAAGCCATCAGGCAAGACCCCGAATTTCTTCAAAGGGGATCTTATAAAGGCCTTCGCTGGCCATTACAGCAAAGCCCGCGCATTTCATAGCCAATAAATTTGTAACAACATATACTTTCCTAACTAATTCATTTAAAAGTACATCACTCCTTAGCCTATAGATTCAAAGATCAGCATTTACGTACATAGGCATTGTGGCTAGTGGGTATCTGGTAACTCAGACAGTTGGTTATCTTCTATGTTTACCTGGCTCCCTTTGATTTTCAGCTCATGGCTCCTGCATTCCAGTGGAGGCAGATAAGGGAAAAGTTCCTAACAGAAGTAACAGATAAGGAAGGGCCAGCAAATGGTTTCAGAATTTACATCACAATAAGGAAGGGTCAACAAATGAAGACAGAATTTACATCTCAAGGTTTTACCAGGGAGGGGGCAGGTAAGGAAGCATTACTAATTAGCAGAGTTTAGCTCTGGAATTTCCCTTGGGGTCCCAAGGGACCTTACAGCAGCATCTGTCCTTATGTGGACTACCCATGTCCGGGCCTTTGGAGCCTGGTGACAATGCTGGAATCAGTGCCTACTGCCTATGGCTCTCATGAGTAGCTGACCAAACAAGACTTCCTGAAGATACTGGATGTGAACCTGAAGGGATGATTAAGGTGACTCTGAGCCTCTTGTCCCAGCTGAGGAAGGCCAGGGGCCATGTAATCAATGTCTCAAGAATCTCTGATAATGTGCCAGCAGTTGTTCCTTCTCCAATTTTTGGTCATTGGATGTAGGGGTCGAAATTGGCATCTGTGAGTATTTTGATTCTGGATATCATCATTCCTTTTGATTTATAGAAGGAATGAGGGCCTGGCTATGAGCCAGTTCTCGGGCTTCTTAACATAGTAGGGGCTCTGTCTCATCTGCATCTCTTCTCCTTGCAGTAGGCACAGTGTATGGGTCCCCCAGGTTTTTATTTTTTCACTGACCTGCTTTTCTTATCCTCTGGGTCCCAGTGGAAGGAATATTGGAACCTTGAATATAATCTCAGGGCTAGGATGAAAGAGACGTTACTGGGGCCTGCTCGAGGCAATCGACGAATAACAGGATGATGAATGAATGAAAAGAACCTATAAAAAAATGTAAGGTGGAGTTCATGCCCAAATCAATCAGCTAATCAGTGGCTGAATAAAGAGCAGTACTCCTACATAAAAATTTTTAAAAAAGAATATATGCATGAATTTATTTCTTAAATTGTTGGAGGGCTGCGATGTCTGTCACCCCAGTGATCGCCCAGGTTGATTCGGCTGATCTGGCTGGCTAGGTGGGTGTCCCCTTCTTCCCTCACCACTCCATGTGTGTCCCTCCTGAAGCTGTGCACTTGGTCGAAGAGGACGGCCTTCCCCGAGTAGAGACTGACAGGTCTTCGGTCAAGGGTATACGAGTAGCTGCGCTCCCTTGCTAGAACCTCCAAACATCTTAATTAAACTTTTATATTTTTCTCAAAAAAACGGGAATATTCAGTCATTTTTGGGACACCAGCAGAATCATAGAAAATGTAGAAAATGTTCATATCCAGTACTAATTCCAACTGATGTGCAACCCCGTTCAACACTTCATAGAAATCTCCCTGACCCTACCCTACCCTAATATTTGTTTTAAGTATTAAGAAATACCACTGACAGGAGAAGATCCCGGCATAGATAGCTACTTTGTTGGACACATCTTCTAAGGGCATAGTTTTATTAGTACTCCAGAGCCTCTGGTTATGGGGACGGGGAAGGGATAGGAAAGTAGTTGTGAAAACTTATGGGATTTGAGTCCTGAAAAATTTCAGGATTCTACCCACGGAGCATGCTCTGGGCCTCCCCTTCAAAGACACAGATACAGACAGACCAGCAGTTGATGGTACCTCTGTATCCCGTGTGCTCCTTCACCTACTGGGTGGCCGCAGTGATGCTCTCTGACTTGGTGACATCCAGAATCACCGTTTCCAGCCCGTCTGAAGTCTGTGCTCTCAGTGACTCAGCCCCCTTTTCAGTCAGACACGCAGCCAGCACCCTCAAGCCCCTCTGATCCAGCTGCCTGGCCAGCAGGTTGCCAAAGCCCGGGTCACAGCCCGTCATGAAGACGTACTTGTCCTGCAGCTGACTCACCACCTGCCTCTCCCGGTACCAGCACACAAGGTGGTACACAGCCACCAGGGCCACCAGGTACAGCCACATGACCTGTAGAAGACAGAAATTTAGTCCCTGGTGACATCAAGGACAGGTCTGTGTGCATGAAAGCAATATTGAGCATGGGAATCCTAGGTTGTAGACCAGACTACAGGCTCACTGCAAAGGCTCCCCATGTTTTTCTGTTTTACCACTCAAATTTCAAATCAATACTCAGGGGGTGGAACAATAGCATAGCGGATAGGGCGTTTGCCTTGCACGTGGCCGACCCAGGTTCTATTCCCAGCATCCCATATGGTCCCCCGAGCACTGCCAGGAATAATTCCTGAGTGCATGAGCCAGGAGTAACCCCTGTGCATCGCCAGATGTGACCCAAAATGAAAAAAAAAAATCAGTACTCAAAATGTATGCTAGAAAAAGGATAGTCTCTCCAACAAATGTAAAGGGAACAACTGTAAAGGGAAAATAGAATATACCCGTGGAAAATAATAAAATTTTATAATACAGTGGGTAGGGCGTTTCCCTTGTACATAAGCTACTGAGAGTATCTCGCCCACACAGCAAAGCCTGGCAAGCTACCCGTGATGTATTTGACATGCCAAAAACAGTAACAACAAGTCTCACAATTTGTTGTGAGGCATTATGGTGCCCACTTGAGCAAATCGATTAACAATGGGAGGACAATGCTACAGTGGCATATTATAAAATACCAAAATTATCAATTAAAATTGCTTAAAAGACTTAAAAGACCTTAAATTTTAAAGTTTCTAGGGGGTAAAACCATTTTGGGAAAGCTGCACAGCATTGTGCTTGGCAATGATTTTACGGATCATCATAATTAGCAAAAGCACAGGCCACAACAGAAAGAAAATAAAATAACACAAGTGGGACTAAGTCAAACTGAATCAGACTAAATCTGCACAGCAGAAACTGCAAAGGAAACCATCAACATAGTATGAAGGGAGCCTGCCAATTTTGAGAAAATATTTGCAAATCATGTAGCTAAAACAGTTGTATAGAAAATGTAATAGTAACCAATACAACTTTACTAGCAAAGAAAAGAAGCAATCTGATTTATAGATGGCTCAGATCATGAATTGACTTTTTTCTTCAAAGAATTGTCAACAGAATACATAAAAAGATGTTTAACATCACGAATTATCAGAAAAATTTAATTGGGCCTCAGGGCCCAATGAGGGCCAGAGGGATGTAGCTCAGTTATAAAGCTTGTACTTTGTATGTATATGGCCTTGGATTCTATTTCAGGCACACCAAACAATGTACACAGAAATAAACATGCATTCCACACACGGCCAAACAATGAGTGGACATCTCCACTTTCAACTGAAATCACCATGCTTTCTGGACTTCCTTGATTAAGGTCAACCTTCTAAGGATTGTATTTTCTTTATTCATCATGTTTTTATTTCTCTTCCTCATTCTCATTTTCTCTCTCTGCCTCTTTGGCTCAATTGATAGCTGTGGTGCAGTAGTGCAGCAGTTGAGCAAACACATGGAAATGCAGGGGAATATTTGTAAAACTGCAACCAAACACTAGTGCGTAAATCCCAAAGATGCAGCCCCACTCAACAGCTGACAGTGTCTGAGCTCCCTGCCATGAAGGGAACCCAGTGGGTTCTGTTCTTCCTATTCCCCATACAATCTCTCCATGCCCTTCCAAGGAGGATTTGGGGAACCCAGCTGTGATCTCCCTCCAGGCACAGCTCACTGTGTCTCTCCCATCACCTGTGTCCAGGTCTCTGGGGTCTGGTGAACAATGCTGGCATCTCAGTGCCCTCAGCTCCCAATGAGTGGCTGACCAAACAGGACTTCATGAAGATAATTGAAGTGAACCTGCTGGGGGTGATTGAGGTGACCCTCAGCCTGCTGCCCCTGCTGAGGAAGGCCAGGGGCCATGTGGTCAACGTCTCCAGTGTCCTGGGCTGTCTGTCCCTTTTCGGTGGTGGCTACTGCATCTCCAAGTATGGCATTGAGGCCTTCTCAGATTCCCTCAGGTAAGGAGACTGTGGCTATTCTTCAAGGGAGCCTTTCCAGGGGGTTCTTCCATCAACCACTTGCAGTCTCTTTCTTCTTGATCTCTGAATTCTCAGCATCATTTTCTATGCTCCAGGCACCCAGCATCCAGATGGGACAATCCAGGCCTCTAGAATCTGATTTTATATATGCATTCCAGTACAGAGAAGGCTAGAACATAAAGGGTCTGAAATAGAATTAGAACTATAACAATGGACCATGAATTCCGTGATCAGTCCTGCTGATATTCAGACTCAGGAGACTAAAAAGTGGACTTAGAGCCTTCTGCTCTGTTTAACAGATACTCTTGGCAACTTCTGTGAGTGAAAACTGAGTGTGAGACTCACTTAATCACTTAACTTCCCGTTAGTCGTCGATTTGCTCGAGCGGGCGCCAGTAACGTCTCCATTTGTCCCTGTCGCGTGCTAGTGTAGCCCAATGGCATCTCTTCGCTCCGGGAACATGAAGGGCCTCAAACCTATCATTCATGATCTTGACGAAGAAATCTGACCATCTGGTAGGTGGGCGGCCACGCGGTCTTTTGACATCCCGTGGAATTCAGTCGGTAACAGCTCTAGTCCAGCGGTCGTCTTTAAATCTCATTACGTGACCAGCCCATCTGATTTTCGACACCTTGGCAAATGAGACAGCGTCCCTGATTCTTGATCGTCGACGGATGTCAGAACTCCGGATTCTTTCTCTCATTTGAGTGAAACGTGATATTCCAAGCATAGCTCTTTCTATTCTTCTTTGGGAGACCAAAATGGCGTTCTCATCTTGTTTGCGTAGGGCCCAGGTCTCTGAGGCATAAGTTAATGCAGGAAGAACAGTGGAATCAAACAGATGTGCCCGGAGCTGGAGGTTCTTTGTCCTCTTAGCTATTTCTTCGACGTTCTTGAAGGCATTCCAAGCCGCTCTCTTCCTCCTGCGCAGCTCGGGTGCCAGGTCATTTGTCATGTTGACCTCTCGACCTAGGTACACATAGCTGTTGCATTCGGAGATGGTCGTTCCGTTGAGAGCGAATGGGGCATCAGGAACGAGGCTGTTTCTCATAAACATTGTCTTCGTAAGATTCAGCTGTAGTCCTACCTTTCCACACTCACGGTCAAAGTCGGCCAGCATTTGTGCCGCTTGGCTGATGTTTGGTGTTATTAAAACAATGTCATCAGCAAAGCGGAGGTGGTGTAGTTGCCGACCATCTATCTTCACTCCCATTCCTTCCCATTCCAGTCGTCGCATGATGTTCTCGAGGGTGGCACTGAAGAGTTTCGGTGAAATGGTATCACCCTGCCGCACCCCTCTCTTGACATCAACGATCACTTCTTTGTAGAATGGTGAGATCCTGGTAGTGAATCTGCAATACAGCTCACGGAGGATCCTGATGTATTGGGCTTGAATGCCCTGACTGGCTAGGGCTTCAATGACCGCTTCCGTCTCAACAGAATCAAAGGCCTTCTTTAAATCAATGAACGTTAAACAGAGCAGCATCTTGAACTCCCAGTAAACCTCAATGAGCTTGGTTATCGTGTGGATACGGTCCATGGTGCTGAATCCTTTGTGGAACCCGGCTTGCTCGCATGGTTGTCCTTCATCTAGTGTTCTGCCAATCCTATTTAGGATGACTCGAGTGAACAACTTGTAGATGACAGACAATAGGCAGATCGGGCGATAGTTGCCAATGTCATGGATGTCTCCCTTCTTGAACAGTAGTACGGTCCTGCTGGTTTTCCATTGGGACGGAACCTTGCATTCAGACAGGTAGCGAGTGAAGAGCCAAGCCAGTGTATTTGACAAAATCTCAAGGCCGACCTAGGCTGCCACAACGAAGGAAGACAAAAATGATCGTCTGTACTTTCAATGCACATACGCTAGCATCAGATGCATCCATCGAGGACCTGATGGTACAAGCGCGAATGATCAAGTACGACATCATTGGTCTGACCGAGACAAGAAGGCATGAATCTCACCATGCCGTTTTCGACACTGGAGAAGAATTGTTCCTCGGAACATGCGATAAAAGAGGTGTTGGAGGCGTCGGTGTCCTTGTCAACACAAACTTGGCCAAGAGCATTGATTCATTCGAATGCCTAACAACCCGAATCGGACGTTTACATTTGAATAGATGTGGCTCACTGGCTGCAGTTTCTATCTTCGTTGTCTACGCACCAACATCTCATTATGATGAAAGAGAAATCGAGAAGTTCTACATGGAGCTAGAGAAGTTCTATAAAGAAGACCACACCTTCTACAAGATCATTGTGGGTGATTTTAATGCCAAGATAGGACCGAGAAGATCAGCTGAAGAACTTCACATCGGGACCCATGGCCTAGAATGGAACGAACAGGGTGAGAGACTGTCTGAGTTCATCATGTCGACCAAGACCATTCATGGTAACTCACAGTTCCAGAAGGCAGAATCTAAACGATGGACATGGGAGTCTCCCGGTGGACGATTCCACAATGAAATAGACCACATCATATTCAATCGACGGTTTTGCCTGACCGATGTCGCTGTTGTCCCAAAATTTCGAACGGGATCGGACCACCGTCTCCTTCGTGCAAAATTCTACTTCACAGAGCGGGGAGAAAGGGCTGCAAAGTTCAAAAAGAGAACTCCCAGAATGACCACCAACTGGGAACTCTTTGGTACTATTGCGGCAACATGGGAAGATGCCATTGTTGACAACATTGACAAGGAATACGATCGACTGGTTCAGCACCTCCATGAATGTGCGAGGAACGCCAAGAGAGAGATAGCCACAAAAAATCGCCTATCTTCGAAAACTCTTGAGCTAATTCGCCAGCGTGGTTTGGCGCATGCCTCAGGCAACCGCAAGCTAACGTCCGAGCTCGCAAAGCTGTGCAGAGATGCAATCAAGGAAGACCTCAAAGAGAGAAGAGCAGAAGTACTGGTAGATGCGGCAGAAGCCGGGAAAAGTATTCGTAATGCCCGCCTGTCCTTCACCAACTACAAGACCAAGATGACTGCCCTCCGACGTCCTGATGGATCCATCACATCCTCCAGAACGGCAGTGGAGAAGGTTATCCATGACTTCTACTCAAATCTCTTCGATAGCGATGTCCACTTGCCGACATACCAAATTCCACAGGATGGATATGTCGTTCCCAACGTTCTCCCTTCCGAAATCCGACACGCCATTTTGTCGGTAAAGAAACAAACAGCACCCGGCCCAGACAAGGTCAGACCTGAACACCTGAGTGTGAGAATAAAGCAATATATTTCTCTGACCTAGAAATGTAAGAGTTGAGAACGAGCTAAGTATTAAAATGATGTGCCACCTCTTGTGATGATGGAGACCAAGTTAGCCATGGTAGGCATGTAGCTAGCTGCCGAAGAGAGCCTGGAGAAAGCACCTGAGCTTGTGATAGAAATACGAAACTTGATGACTTGGCCACTTGGGATGTAAATTTGGGCAGAAAGTTTTCTGGGTGAGAATGTGGCCAACCCAAGCCCAAGTTAAGCCCAGAGTTTGTGGTAAAGATGACTTGTCTGTTTCTTAAGGTAAATTGGGCAGTAGGTTGAAGGGATCTCTGGAGGGATAGATGCTTCTTTTCTTGTTGTTGGCAGTGGAGTCCTTGGCAGGTGGTCAGTCAGGAAGCTACTATTGTGTTATGCATCCAACTGACTGCATAGCCCAGATGACTGTGAATATGGAGGAATAAGCCTTCACAACAATATGTTTTGTTTTTTTCTTCCCTCCTATTTATGCTGTTGTGATGGCCAGGAATAGAACTATTTATTGGAAAATTTTAAAGCTTGGTTGTGGTGCTTAGAAACTTAATTGAAGTGCTTTTGGAGGTATCTAGCTTTAGTTGCCCTGCTCCTACACACACTTTGTTGTGGTGTGTTCTGTTGCATACAATTATTTGTGATGTCAGGGATCCCAAAGACATGCCTCTAGGATCACATACCACATCCTGGATGGTAGTAGAGAAAATACCACAGCCTCATGCATGCAAGGCAGGTACTCTCCCACTAGTCTGCCAAGACACATTTCATTATAGCACAGATGACAGGTGACGAGGGAGTGACTAGAACAAAAGGTAAGAAACTATGGAAAAATAAAAAGGAAATAGTTGGTGATATTACACATAAGGGGTGGAAATAGAAGGAAATACCATTAAGTGGTGTCTTGTTACACAAGAGGACTTACTTAGAGTTAAAGTGTACACATAAGGTATTTGTGAAAATGGACAAGTCTCTCTGTCATCCTCATTTATCTGACTTTTGACTTTAACCCACAATAAACCTATATTAATAGTTTATGTTAATTTCTTGTGCGTGTGTGTGAGTGTGTGTTTTGTCTCACAAGGCACCTAACTTTTCTCTTCTACCTGTTTGTTTTCAGGAGGGAGCTCTGCTTCTTTGGTGTGAAGGTGGCTATAATTGAGCCTGGCTATTTCAAAACTCCTGTGACCAATACTGAGAATATTTCTCAGAATTTCCAGGATGTATGGAATCAGGCCAGCACAGAGGTTAAGGACATCTATGGGGAAAAGTTTCTGAAATATAGTGAGTGCACTCTGGATCGAAGGGAAGGAAGCAAATCATTGTCTGGAATTCTGGATCCATCTTTAGTGCCACCTACATTCTTTGTCTCTATCCAAGTCTGAGTCACTAGAATTGGGGGCATTTTTATTTTTGCTTTTTGGGTCACACCCAACTATACTTAGGAATTTCTCTTGGCTCTGCACTCAGGAATTACTCCTGGCAGTGTTTGGGGGACCATCTGGGCTTGAACTCGGCTCAGCCGCGTGCAAAGCAAACGCCCTGCCTGCTGTACTATCGCTCCGGCCTTCAAATTGGGGGCATTTATCTCCATCTCCATGCCCATGTGGTCAGAGTAAGCAAGAAAAAAAAATCCAGCAACATTAGTGTTGAAGCACTGTCTCGGCATTATTTATTCCTCATTACTTTGAAGAACTGTAGCTATTGTGGAGATTCCCCTGGACTCATGTCATTCTGATGTTAGAGTCAGTGATTTCAGAAGCCAGATTCGTAATATTTGTAGACACTGCCAGTATGTGTGGTGAAATATTCCCCGAAATGGAACTTTTTTGTGTTTCATGTGGTTAAATTTGGGAAACAAATAAAGTTCACAAAATTTATTTGATGCATATTTTGAGTATGAAATGCAGTTTTCTCTACAATTACTTGATTGATAAATTTAACTGTATTTAAAAAGTAGTTATTTTTCTTACATATGTCTATTTAAAATATTCATTAAATTTGTATATCCTATAATTCACAGTGATTCAATAAAAATATTTAAAAATAAGAGGCTACATCCAAAATAGGCAAATTAAAATAATTTTTCAGAAAACAGCAATATGCCATTTACATAAAGTGCAGAAATAAATGGATAAAATTAAGGTGAATCTATTGATCTTTTAATCAAAATTGACTAATAAGTGGCTATTTGTATTGCGTAATAGAGCATGATATTTTAGGAAACAGTTATTTGCCTTTTTTAAATAAATTCTCATGGTTTGATAGTCATTTGCATGGGGTAGATAAACTCTAATTTAGGTTTCATTCAACTACACACAGAAATTCAGCCAGACACTGAAAATTATAATTTTATTGTCACTGAGTCTAATTGCTTATAACTATTGATTTTGGGAAACAAATTTTAAATAAGATTCAGCCTGCCAAGTGAAAACATTAAATGTTTTTAAATTCATTATAATTATATAATTAAAAGTATATATAATTTTATTTATATTTTATTTAAAAGGATGCTTTAAAATTCTAAATAAAATCAATGATCTTAATAAGTGATAACAAATGTGGCAGATTGGGTAGCAAGAATCTATCTAATTGGTTCATATTTCTGGACAGACATGGAATTACTTCAGAAGTTTGTGCCTAAGCTGTTTCAGGATCTATCTTTGGTGACAAACTGCATGGAGCACGCCCTGATATCCTGTAACCCTCGCACCAGATATTCAGCTGGCTGGGATGCCAAATTCATCTTCATCCCCCTGAGCTACATGCCCACCTTTCTGGTGGATACTTTGGTGAAATGGAACCCCTCAAGGCCTGCCAAGGCCCTGTGAGGGGTAGAAGAGGGCATGATAGAATGGTTGGGGGGTGGGGGTGGTGGGTATTGTGTGGGGTTATGATAGAAATGGAACCCCTCAAGGCCTGCCAAGGCCCTGTGAGGGGTAGAAGAGGGCATGATAGAATGGAGGGGGGTGGGGGTATGGGGTGGAGGTGGTGGGTATTGTGTGAGGTTAGAGATTCAATAGTGGAGGGAGGAAACTATATGATTTCCTTTTCCCCATAATTGATGCAGGAATTCCTCATGGTCTATTACACAGGAATCTGAGATATTATAACCATGGCTTGTAGCTAGGAGCATGGAGCCACTAACATGTGTTCTATTTCTTTCATCGTTGTTGATGTTTTGAGGTCATATCTTGCAGTTCTCAGGGATTTGTGCTCAGCAATCACTCCTGGCTTTGTGCTCAGTAATCACTCCTAGAAGTGTTTCAAGGGCTATATGCAATGCTGGTGGTCAATTCAGGGTCGGCCCTGTGCAATACTGCGTTCTATTTCTTGCAAGACCAACCAAAGGCACTGAGGCTCAAGGCTCCTCTTCCTCAAGGGATCCTCATTTGGGAGGTGTGAGAAGTTGAGGGCAGCTCAGCCTTAACTGCTGTGCACTATCTGCCTTGTGTGACTATGACCCTGGGAAAGACTAGAAATGGATTAGAAATGACCTGGAAGACCTAAGGGCCCCTCTGCACTAAAGATGTCAATTGACAGTGGTGAAAGTGTGGAGGGCCATCACAGCCTGACACAATAGCCTCTGCTGCCTAATTGTGGGAGTCTATCACCCCATAATGCTCTGTATTACTGGTCACGTACTGAGAGGCCTAAGGGAGTCAGTAGACACACCAGACAAAGAGCAAGTTTGAAGGGCATGATTACAAATGTCCAAAATGTCCAATAAAGTGATCTTTGTGGTCTAAATAACTACATACTGCTTCTCTTTTACTTCACTTAAATATGTTGTTTGTACTTATTTTCCAACACTACAGGTATATCCCAGTTTAATCTGAAGTTCCCAGTTTAATCTGAAGTTCTTCTAAATCAGCCACAAAACATATGTGACGGTTTTGTGACTATTTTTCCATTGGGACTAGTCCCATATAGTTCTCAGGAAGTTGCCGTGCCTCTCAACTATTGTTGGCCCTACAACAGTTAAACACAAGAGTTCCAAATCCTTGCACTCATCTGTGGAATATACAGTAACAGAATTGGAGACTAACACCCAAGATAGTAGAAATAAGTACCAGGAGGTTTGATCCACGACTTGGAAGCCAACCTCACATGCTGGGGGAAAAGGCAGCTCAGATAGATAAGGGACCACCAAGTAAAGCATGTTTGAAGGACCCACTCGGGATGGGATATGTGTACCAAAAGTAGATTATAGACCAAACACGAGGGCCCCTCAGTAACTCTATTGCAAATCACAACACCCAAAAGGAGAAAGAGAACAAAAGAGAATGCCCTGCCACAGAGGCGGGGAGGGGAGTGGGGGTATGGGGTGGGGGTGGTGGGAGGGATACTGGGATCATTGGTGGTGGAGAATGGGCACTGGTGGAGGGATGGGTACTCGATCATTTTATGACTGAAACGCAAGCACAAAAGTATGTAAGTCTGTAACTGTACCTCAGGGTGATTCACTAATAAAAATTTTTTTTAAAAAAGAGCTCCAAATCTTAACTATTGTACTGAGTTCTGTAATGAATAATGATGTGCGTATGTTCTTTTGAATTGATGTTTTTGTGTCCTGGTGTCCTGGGGATTGATACCCAGAAGTGGGATTGCTGGGTCAGATGGCAGCTCAATTCTTAGTTTAGTGAGAAATCTCCATACTGTTTACCATACGGGTTGAACCAGACAGCATTACCACCAGCAGTAATTGAGAGTTCCTTTTTCACCACAATTCCCCCCCGACCCCACCAGCAAACGCTGTTGCCTGTGTTTTTTCCACTGGTGTGAGATGATATCTCACTGACGTCTTGATTTTTATTTCCATAATCGAAAGTGGTGATGAACATTTTTATGTACCTGTTGACCATCCATTGGTCTTCCTCAAGAGAAGTGCCTATTCATTTCTTTTCCCCATTTTTGGATTATTTTTTGTTGTGGGGAGTTGGGGGGAAACCTGGCAGTTTTCAGGGCTTGCTTCTAGCTCTTCACTTCACGACCACTCCTAGAAGGTTCTGGGGATCAGATGTGTCAGGGTAGAATGCGGGTCAGCCATGTGCAAGGCAAATGCCTCACTCTCTGTACTATTGTTCCTGTCCTTCCTCTCCTCATTTTTTAATAAGGACTTTGGATTTCTTTTTGAACAATTTACATATTCTGGATATCAACACTTTAATGTGTTGAGTGCAAATATTTTCTCCCATACAGATAGCTGTCTTTTATTTTTAGCTCGTATTTCTTTTGCCACACGGACACTCTAATATAGTGTGGTCCCATTTGTTCATTTCTTATTCTATTGCCTTTGCAAATGGCATCTTATCATAGAAAACACCTTTCAAGTACAAATATTGTAATGTTTCTCGTGCATATTCTTTGTACTTTTCAAGGTACTTTATAAGGAGATTCTGGTCTAATATCCAGGTCTTTGATCCACTTTGAATTGGCTTTTGTAGGACATGTGAGATATGGATTCAGTTTTAATTTTTTCACACTTGGTAATCCAGTTTTCCTAGCACCATATTATGTCTTATCTCCATTTAATACTCTCAGCTCCTTTGTCAAAAACAAGCAGCACATATATGGGGATTTGTCCAAGGATATTCGGTTCTGACCAATTAGTCTGAGAGTCTGTTTACTCCAGTGCCACATTGTTTTTATCACTAATTTTATAGTATAGATTCAAGTTAGCTAACGAGAAAATTTCCAATTTCTTATTTTTCACTATGACTTTGGAGATAGCACAGTGGTAGGGCATTTATCTTGCGTGCAGCGGGCCCAGCTGAGCAGGGTTCGATTCCTCCGCCCCTCTCAGAGAGCCCAGCAAGCTACCGAGAGTATCTCACTTGCACGACAAAGCCTGGCAAGCAACCTGTAACATATTCAATATGCCTAACACAGTAACAAGAAGTCTCATGATGGAGACGATACTGGGCCTGCTCGAGCAAATCTATGAACAATTGGGAGGACAGTGATACAGTGCTACATACAAACTTTATTATTGACTGTTTCTTGAAGAATGTGGTTTAAATTTGGATGGGAATTGTGTTGAATGTATATAGTTCTAGTAGTTTAGGTAGGATGGTCATTTTAACAATAGTTGTTTTTCCTATCCATGAATATTTTTCCTTTACTTAATATCGTCTATCTCTTTTTCGAGTACTTAAAGTTTTCATGGTATTGATCTTCCTCCTCTTTTATTAGTTGAATCATAGGAGAAAGAGATCAAAGAATCTATTCCATTTAAAATAGTGTCCAAAAAGTAACCAGGATCGATCTAACAGTGATCAACCTATCACCTAACAGTGATAATTTGACATCTCCTTTTTAAATTTTATTCCTTTTGAGTTTTCACTTGCCTGATTATTGTTTCTAGGACTTCTGTGTTGAATAAAATGGAGACTGTGGATACCTTTGCCTTGCGACTGTTCTCAGTGGGAATACTTCCAGTTTTTCAAAATTAAGAATGATATTGGCTGTGGGCAACATGACAGTGAGATGCTGCAAATGACCAGGAGTAGAGAGTGAGGAGATGATGGAGAGAAGCTAAAGCAAGGAGAGAAAAGAGATGGAAAGTAGAAAAAAAAGGAGGAAAAAGGTGTGTCAGTAGGGGTTGCCGTCTTGGATGCAAAGTTTCCTGTTTCTGGTGTTGCTGAAGATTATTTCAAAGAGTCAGTCTACAGAAATGTAGCTCCATTTCTGTAACATTAAGAACTGTAATGCTGAATACAATAATTGGTGACCAGTCTGCAAGCCTTACATATCAATCACAAGAACCCAAAGTTAATTGGCTCTGCTGCAACAAACTGATTTTCCCACACCATCTTTCTTCTCTTTCCACTGCTAAATACTAATCTGGTGTATAGCCTAAAAGTTTATTTCTTGTCCTCAACACTGTGCCTGTTTTCTTCCCCTCCCAGGTCAGTTAACCCACCAATATTTGAATCCGGAACTTGGCTTTCTCTGTGCAAATGGCCCCAGGTGTCCTCTAGGACCCTGGGACAAAAGCAGCCCTGAGTCTCTTCCTCTTCGTCCCCACCGCTGTGCTGGTCTTCTTTCCCTCCCAGCTAGTACCCCAACCCCAAACACCAGGTACCCGTGGGGGCGTGGCCTCTTCAGAAGTGGGCGTGGTTTCTGCAGAAGTGGGCTGAAGTGGGTTGAAAGAGATTAGAAGGGACAGCGAAGGCTATTTTCTATTCATCAAGGGATACGAACAACAGGAAGAAATCACACTCTTAAATGTATACGCACCTAGTGAGGGAACAGCTAAATATTTAAAAATAACTGCAAACAGATTTTAAGGAGGTCATTGCTAACAACACAATAGTAGCCAGAGACTTCAACATCACCTTATCACCTCTGGATAGATCAACAAGAACAAAACTCAGCAAGGAAACATTGACTTTGAAGGAAGAAGTAGAAGAGAGAGGACTTGTAGACCTATACAGGGCTTTATACCCCCCAAAAAGAAAGAATACACATTCTTCTCCAGTGCGTATGGAAGATTTTCCAAAATAGACCATTTGTGTTTTCCTAGGCCACAAAACATATCTAAATAGAATCAGGAAGATAGAAATAGTATCAAAAATCTTTTCAAACCATGATGCACTGAGAATAGAAGTGAATCACACACAGACACGGAGAACCAAATCAAACACCTGGAAATTAAACAACTCAATGTTGAACAATGAGTGGGTCAGGAAGGAAGTCAAGGACGAAATCAAAAGATACCTGGAAGCAAAAGAGAATGAAGACACGAGCTACCAGAATGGATGGGATGCAGCTAAAGCCATGTTAAGGGGAAAATTTTGTTAAGGGGAAAGCATTTCTCAGGAAGGAA